AATAAGATCTTGTTTCTTCAGCTTGCATCGACCATCATTGGAACACTACAGCAGGGCCATGGACAGAAATGTTAGCATGGCAGCAAGGAGTTTCATGAAAAGTCAGTCACTCCTATAAAACAGAATGCAGAGTGCAAAGCGGTCACCCAGTCCACATTTAGTCTCACCAATATAAAGGAGACTGCATTGTGGGCAGCAAATTTGTTTACTCCCCTGGGCCCGAATTTAACAACGTACAGACTCAACATCCTGATCAACCGGATTTTCAGTCCGACATCACCTCCCCACCCACCGCCTCCCCGCTCCACCCCTACCACCTCAACAGTAATTCTTGCCTGCTTTACTTTCAGGTCTACCTCTTCAATCCTTGTTAAGTTCCAGCCTGCAATACAGGCAAACATAGATCACTAAATTTGTCTACACCAATCTTGGTCGGAGTCAGCTTCACTGACCCAGTTTTCAAAACACTGAATTCAAAATCCTTGTCCTCTTACAAATCTTTAAAGACCTCATTCAAACCCTGCTGTGTTTTCTCAACTTCTTCACCACTATCCCAACCCATCTTGCTATGTATTACAAAGCTTTTAGTGATTTATATTTTATGCACTGAGATCACTCCTGCTTTTCTGTATTGGAACCACTTTCTCTACCATTATATGATTCTCAGAAGCTAATCTTTGACCATACTCTTGGCCATTTCTTCCAATTCTAACCAATATCTCTTGGGACATTGCTGCATTAGAACATGCAAAAGAAATTTAAGTAAAAGCATTTGGCCTGACCCTTTTTTATTCCAAAACTGAACACTAGATGACAGCATGTGCAGTAGTTTCATTCAGCCTCACTTCAGCTTCTTTTTATTTTAAATGCTTTCAAGTTATGCCATGTGAAGCTGATAATCTGAGGCACTTTTATTGTTCAATTTTCTCCCTGGCTGAATACATCAAGTATTCATGTTTGACTTGTGGTCTATCCTTCAAATACAACCTTCTTTATTTTAAGTATCTCATTATTAGTAATGGCCCTACCAGAGTTTCAATTCGAATTCTCAACTCCTAAACGAAAGCAGGAGACTGCATTACAACTTTAATTTCAACTTTAAATAAAGAAGGAACACAATAATTGCAAAAAAAAAAAACCAAAGCAATTATTAACAAATTGAAAATTTAAAATATTTCTGTAAGTAATATAATGAGGCATTTTCCAAAATGCTCAATAATACTTTCAAGATTGCACAACCAAAAGGAAGTTAAAACATGCACACCATTTGACCAAAACAAAGATGCTGCAGCAGGGGAAGGAATAGAAGAGGAACATTTACTCGGAGTTGGCTGTAAAGGAAAAGAAAGCTTAAGACAGGTTTAGAGCAAGGATTGTAACTTATATAATTTCATTATGTTTCCATTTGGCCACAGGCAACCAGACAGTTTAATAGGGTTTTTTAAAGGAGTCAGGAAAAGGATTCTCTGGGATATATGGACCATGAAGACCATCACGAACTGAGTCATTGAGGTGCGGTAGAGGCATACCATTGGGCGATGACTATCTCTGGGAAACACAGGAAGAGCGGAGTTACTGTTGCAGGTGACTTGAAGACTCAAAAACCATGGAGAGAGAAAACAGAGATTAAATGGACTGGAGACAGAGTTAGAAAGACTGAGTGCCCACATTGTGTTGCACTTGTGCAGGGAATGAAGCAAATACTTGTAAACTCATGAAGTAGGATCGCAGATACAAAAGATTGTGTAATTGATAGCTCACAATAACCAAAACTTGCCTGTTATTTTATGATTAATTCACATCGATTATGACTTATGTTTAAGTTTCAAAAGTAAAATCTTGTTGGGAATTTCTTCATTTAGGGTTGGGCTGGTAAATTTGCTTATTTTGGTTTATGGTCCCATATAGGGATCATGGCAATACACTCCCAGAAAAAGGATAGGACTGTACATGCAGGAACAAGGGAGTTTATTTTTTAAACGTTAGTTACCCTAAACAACTTCTCTGAATATGAAAACATATTTTTCAAAGTGTGGAGTCTTATTCCTTCAAAATGTAATTAGTACTGGAGATTGGAAAAATCAGTAATTCTTCACTTCTAGCACTCATTTATCTATTTTGAGTTAATTTTCTTTTCCAGTCTTTATTCACTTTCTGTACATGATTTAAATCTAATGTTTCTTCACTTTGACATAATAGCCCAAAATTTTCAAGGCCATTGGCAACAAGCTGGAAGTCAATATGGCAGGGTTGATGCATTGGAGAGGAGCTCATCATCTACCATGATGCAATATGGCAGGGTAATTGATGGCACAGCCACACAGTGGGCAGTCAAGTGTGTCTTGGAGCAGCCAATTATGTGCTACTTCCCATTTACGTGAACATTTTGTCCATCAAAATAGCCCCTCAAAGGGTTCCAAAAGGTAGGCCTTTGTTATTGGCACTCCAAAGCCTACAAATGCTTCCCATCTGCAATTACGACTTTAGGCAGCAAAATTACCATGCTCCAGACCATGGTTTTCCAAAACTCTTAACTGGCTGGTAGGTGTCACCATGTTGTCCCTAGTTTCACTAAATGGGGCCACCACCCCCTTTAGTCCTGGTGGTTCATCCTCCAATTGAGCAATAAAATTCAGTCCTGTGTCTTAGTGATCATTCTTCAATATGACTGGATGAAGAACCTTGCTAATATTTGCTCTGCTTACAGATTCCATAGATCTCTTACAGAGGGTACTGAGCTGGATCAGATGCCTAATGACAGCAACTCTTAGCTGCAGATTTTTGAGCAATCAACACAGACATAAGTGCTCCTTTGCCAGTTATCACAAAACTTGGAGCATTTTACCTTGTGTTATTTAAGGTGTTGCCAATTCCTGAGGGCTTGGTAGACTTCAAATTGACTGCATCTATCACTTTCCATTCTAATTTTTTTTTGTGTTACGCTGTCAAGTGATGAATGCATATGTATTACACATTATAAAAAGGTATTTATGGGGTCGACAGCTCTTTAAACTGTTCATTTAGGTAAATAAAGTTGTTTCTCTACATATGGTAAGGGGAAAACCATTAACTTTCCCTAGGATATTTATTGCTCTCTCTTAACCAGTGCTGAGGAAGACACCATTCGGAATTGACCTGCTGACCCTTTTCCAGCATTCACAGTACTTTCCTTCGTGGCTTCTTTTATTATTACTGTTGGACATTCCTTGAAGCATCCCATCCATAGGTCCATGTACAAGAGTAGCATTATGGACAAGCGTCAGCAGTCTGGCCAGAGTCGCAGAGTTATAAAAGGTAGACAAATTGTCGTGTTGTCTGCTTTGATGTCAAAATGGAGGGCACCAATCATCATTCCCTTCCAAATAACAATGTTTGAATGACATTTTGAACAGTGCTTGAAAGTCAGCACTTGTCTCAACAGCAAAAAAACACTAACCTATAGCTTTGGATCAAGCCTCAAGATAAACAACTTTAAGATGACAATGAAAAGTTCTATTGGGAGATAACATTTATGTTCACATAAAATAAAAACTGCAGCTTTGTTGTGGATGTCAAGAACTTCACAATATACCATAAAAACTCAGCTAACTGCTAGCAATATATTAAACCATAATCAAGTCCAGCTAGTGTTAATATAGGTTTGCAGTACAGAATGTATACCGGGTATCAAGCCATACTTGAGTTAAGAATCTAAATTTTAATACTCATTTATGTTTTAGCATAACATACAAAAATAAAGGATGAAGTGGACCTTTATCAGCTGAGCTTTATAATCAGTCTTTTTTCCAAGAGATTGTTAACCACATATTTAGAAAAGTCTAAATTTAATAGTTGATGTCAAAGTTTTCCATTAATTTAGATAGAATATAAAATTGATGAGTCTGCAGACGATTGTTTACCACATCAAAATCAAAGGCCAACTATTGAACACTGAAAGAAGAGCTTGTGGACAATGATGATTAATGGGCACTTTAAATGCCAGCATTTAATTATGTAAAAGATATGCTCATTACGGTTTTAAAATTATGCAGATATGGAAAAACATTAAAATAAACTATACTGCCATCATTTATCAGCTTCGTTAGTATTAAATAAAATGTTCAAACCTGTCAACGGAGATCATAAAGGATGCAAGAAAAGTAATTTATTGTTCCAGGATTTTAAAAAAAACCAAACAAGCTCCTTCTGCTTTGTCTCAAATACAAATTATTGGCATTTCCACATTCCCTGACCGAAACAAGTTAGCACTTCTTACTGTTAAAGATCATGCACTGATTTGTGCTTAAATACAAAAACACATCTTTTAGTGATGCAGAAATTGCACACTGCTTGCTGTCTACTTTTAGATCATCCACGTGAAAGCCACACTGCAGTAGAGTGTTCAAATTCCAGGGCCAAGAAGCAAGTCCGGCCATTTTATACTTTCAAAGGCCTGTCCTGCAGCTCCTGGCTGAAGTACAACCTGCCAACAGTAAATAACTATTTTGTCAATGAAAGATAAAGTAACAATTAAACAGTGCTGAAGCTCTTAGTTCGAGCAGTGGACCACTGTGCAGTTCTTAGTTATAACACTGTTGATCTCCTCCAGCAGTTTTGAAATGCCAGATTGATAATTCCTCAAGTAGGTCCCACTGTGGCAAGTCATACTGTACATCCAATTATTTTGAGTCCACGCTGGAAGAACAGTTATATCTAAAAACAGTTCTAATCACAGCAAGTACTTGTCTCACTCCATGCAGTTCTGCACAATGTAAACACACGTGTATCTTTCAGAAGATGTGGACATTGAAGACAAGGCCTGCATTTGTTACCTATCCCTAACTATGCTCGAGAAAGTTGTAGCGACACCATCTTGAACTGATTCAATGCATGTGGTGTAGTTACATCCACAGTACTAATAGGAAATGAGCTTTGGGAGCTTGATACAACAGTAGTGCAACAATGACAGTATAGCCCCACGTCAGAATGGTGTGTGTTCGGAGGAGAACTTTCAAAATGACTGTGTCCTTGTCTGTATCCTGCCTTGTTCTTCTGGATGGTTGAGGCTGCAGGCTTGGAATATGCTGTTGAAGGGGAGTCGATGCAGTGCACCGATAAAATACACACCATTACCACTATGCGTCAGTAGAGGGGGGAATGAATATTAACAGTGGCGGATGGGGTGCCAATCAATTAAGCTGCTTTACCTTCAAATGTTATAATTACTGAATAATTAAAGCCAATCTTCAGCCAATAAAGCTCTGTCCTTTTAGAAAGGAAACACAGTCTCTATCTTTAAAATGGATGGTAAGTGCCAATTGGAAACGAAATTTAAAAGCCTTGTTTTAAACAAAACTAAAACACTTCAGCAAAGTCTTGAGAGTCAGTGAGGGTGAGAAGCAAATAAAAGGAAAAAAGGTAGAATGAAACAAAGGACAATGCAAAAGGAACAGAATCAAGGTCAGCTTTGTATAAATGTAGCTGCTTCTGATATTTGGATACCCATATTACTATAATGACAAGAACTTGAAGCTCAAAATTTCAGCAATCCCTGGAAGACAATTATTATCCTAGACTTGCTTGCACTTAAAATGTAAATAAAATTGATGAAACAAAATGTAGTTGTGATTTTAAAAAAAGACAAGAATAATTAAAGGAAGAAGGCAAACATAATTACCTCAAAGCTTTCAAAGAATTGTTCGTAATCGATACACACGATGTGAGATCCAAGTTTTTCAGTTTAGTGCAGAATTTACTAAGGCTGATGCAGGTGCTGCCAAAAGAAAAATAAACAGAAACTGTTGTTAACGTGCGAATAAAACACATCAGCCCAATTTAAATACATTTTACTCACCTGTCATTAATTTTTGTACAACCATTGAGATTTAAATCTTCAATATTCTTACAGTTCTGTGCAAAGGTCCTAAAGATAAAAACAAGTGGCAAAACAAAAATATTTAACTACAAAGTATTCTGAAGATCATAAATCTAATTTAAGGGGCTGTTCTGCAATTCTTTTAAACAGCACAAATTATTAATTTCAGATGAATGATAAGTACTCATTATTCTCAGTGTATAGGTATATTGATTTTGAAAGCATAGACTCTTAACTTAAGAAATAGGATCAGGGGGCTGTATGGACTGTTGAGCCTGCTCTGCCGTTCAGTATGATTATGGATGCTTTGGGCTTCAACACCACTTTCCCACCTACTCCCCATATCACCCGGGAGACCAAAGATCTATCCATTTCAGTATTGAATAAGTCCATCTATGTGAAGGAATACCAAAGATTCACAACCATTTCAGTGAAGAAATATCCCTACAGCTTTGTTTTAAATTATGCATTTAAGTACAAAATAGAATCAGCACAAAAGATAAAAAGTTTTCAATACAAATGTTTACCAGACAAAGCTAAATTACATAGTCTACTTCATTATTGCTGACACAGATAGATGTGGCTGACTGGCAGCAAGAAAATTGCAACATGTCACCATGAAGAACAAGTCAAGAACCACGGAAACATGGTCAATGGTAATGCCCAAGCTTCAGTATCAGTATACACCAGCATTATTCCCAATAATTGTTTCAAAATATACCAAGTGACGTGAAATCAATCCATAGCATTGAGGACTTTAAAGAGTAGATGTTTCTTTTCTTTGCGACAAAAAGGACAGTGATAAAGGGAGAATTGATGAGCAACGTATCTATTTACTTTAGTTGATTAGTACACAAGAAATAATGCACAAGAGCTGGTAGAACTTCCAAGAGAAAGAAAATGTTATTTCAGTGGGGCTAGGTTGGGCTGGTTCAAATCGTAACCCAGGCAGAACATTTTTTTTAGATGATGCAGCAGTATGGTCTTCACATGCCCAGTGCACAAGAATGAATGAATCTTGGAGGATGGGAACCACAAGAGAGAGTGAGAACATGAACAAGTCAAGCAATGCAGAACAGCCAGACACAGAACAATAGCCAAAAGTAAGGAGTCACATACAATTTTGAGATGTGGACGGAATCTGCAGCTATCACATCAATACCCAGTCTTGAATTTATAATCCACGGTAGTCCCATCCGACTATTGTTAATAAACATTGTAACGGAGGTCAAATTGTTAAATATAATTACCCAGAATAAGCACAAGACATGTTGTGCATTCTTCAACATGAGCAGGGTCTTTACAAGTCTTACAATGGAATATGAAATACCAACATCCCCCTTCCTTTAAAGCCAAATGGACTCATATTTGCAACCACGTTTTTAATTTCAATGACATTCACACCATCTCCAAAAGCTTAATTGAGTCTTCATGTGCAAAGAATGAGGTTAGCATGGTTAAATGTATAAAGTGTCGTAAACACAACACAGTATGGAGATGGAGGAGCACAGCAGGCCAGGCAGCATCAGGGGAGTAGACAAGTTGACGTTTTGGGTCGGGACCATTCTTCAGAAATGGGGGAGGGGGAAGGGAGCTCTGAAATAAATAGAGAGAAGAGGGGTGGGGCTGGGGAAGGTAGGTGGCATGGTGGGGATTGGTCGGTGAGATGGGAAAGAAGTTGGACAGGTTGTGTCAGGTCAAGGAGGTGGGGATGAGAGGGAGGCTTGGACATGGGATGAGGCTAGGGGTGGGGAAATTTTAAAGCTGGTGAATTCCACATTCAGGCCATCGGGCTGTAGACTCCTGAGGCGGAAGAGGAGGATGATGCTCCTCTAGTTTGCAGGTGGTGTCATTGTGACACTGGAGAGGCCGAGGATGGACATGTTGCCAAGGTGGTGGTGGTGGGTGGCTGGGTGGCGGGCAAAAAAGTTAAAATGGTTGGCGACCAGAAGGTGTTACTATTTGTCACATACAGAGAGTCTACACTTGGTCTCCCCAAGCGTAGAGTTGGAAACCATTTTGTACAGCATCCACCCTCTGTACGCAGGGTGGTACTTCAGTGCAGTACAGAAAAAAAAAAAATTTTCAACACCCTTAAACTAACAGCCTGTTCAAGTGGGCATAAAATAACTGTTACTGTCCAAAGAGAAAAAAAAAATCTTTTCTCTTGGCGCCCTGGCCAGCAGCACCAAAGGATTAACTGGTTACTTTGTCGTCATGTCTGAGATTTTAGTTTTTAATTTTTTTAAAATTTGATGACTTCATTTATCTATTCAACCGTGAACTTCCTTCAGATGTTTTGAAGCACTATTCAAAGCGAGCTTAGTTTGCTTTCAGTTTTACCTTTACCACCACAAAGTTGGCTGTTAGAGTGGTGGCTTCCAACAACAGAACAGCCCCAAAGGCCTTGTGAATTGGTAAATGCAATTTTAGTGATCCTGATTTAAATGTTCCTCATCCAAGATTATCCTTATCCTATCTTCCAGTGATCCACACAAAGAAAAACAATTTTAATTTATATGGTATCACAGTAACACTACTGAAAAGAAAGTTGATGTCAATTCCAGGATCATAAACTACTGTTGTCTTAAATATTGCCATAGAAATATTAACAGGTGGACACAGTCCCATCTCAGGCTGTGAACCAAGCAACACGAGAGGCATCTCAAAAAATCTCATTCTTCAGTTTAGCCAAGGGACCAGACATTATAGGCAAGGGATCTGAAATTTAGAAAGAGTAGCTGTGACACAAAATATTATCATTCCTCAGTTCCCCACAGGAACACATCTTCTAGAAATGTGCATCCTTTTAACAAGATGCTGTACCTAGGTTACTTGCACAGCAAGAAAATTGTTCACTAAATCTTGCTGCAGGTCATGTGCCTAAAGCTTTCTTCCTTAAAAAGTACACTTCAGTTGTTTTGCTTGGAACTAAACCGGACGTTTTTGACTGGTTAAAACCCTTCAAAAAGATACGCTATGCCAAGTGGGCCATGGTTCTTAAAACTATCCTTTGGTAAATGTAGTCCAATTTGGATGTTGCAAGAACGTCTCTCACTTCATATAAATCTTTAGTATAAAATATTTTAATAGATTCAAAGGAAACCTTAAAGATAGTGGTACTGTGTGCTTTCAGTTCATTTGTCTTCACAGGAATTTAAGGGATTTGCTTCTTAAACAGTTTTGACATCTTTGCACTGAGCTAAGTGAAAGATCTAGACTGCTTGAGGAGGTTGTCGTTCTTCTCTTCAAAATAATCAAAAACAAACTGTCTTATCTGGGTCTCATTAAGAGTTTTCTCTGAATTAGGGAAGACGTTAGATACGGAGGATAATTTTTGACACTTGAAATCTGGTTCTCTGGCCGCTGTAATGCTGACAAATAAGCAGAACAAGGAAAAGTGATATTTTCTGCCAACAGATTTGTCAGTGGCCTGTAAGTGCTCAGAAACAGGCAGCATTTTGGATGGGCAAGTAACCTTCATCTCAAAATAAATCAATGGTCCCATCCCTGGGATATATAAAGAGTCAGATTACCAGAAGCAAATAGATTGTTGTCTTTCAGAAATATTCCTAAAAATAGGATCAAATTCTCAAGAGATAGGCATCAAACATCTTGAAGGTGGAAATGAAAGCTATCGCTTGAATTAAAATGTACCAAAGCATACCATATCATCTCAGGTCAAGCAAAGTTATTCTAATTAGTTAGTACTGATGACGAAGATGAAGGCCTTATCTTATGCGTAAAGTCTGAACACATTAGGCCCTTAAGCACTGGTTTATACGATCTTTTTAAAAACGAAGGGAATTAACAAGATGGATTCTGAGAGGTTTGTCCTTATAGAAAAAGGACAATACAGTGATGCATTTTAAGAATAAAGCCTCACTTCTGAGATGGAGGAGGAAGAGGAATTCTCTCTCAAAAGGGGTCATTAGTCTGCAGAATATTTTTTTCCCACTCCAAGACACAGTGGAGGCTGGTTTACTGAAGTTATTCAAAACTGAATGAGATCGATTGACAAGGGAGCCAAATGTAATGGGGACAAATCGGAAACTTATTTGAGGCTGCTATCTGGACAGTCAAACAGCTCTGTACCTCACTATGCGGTAAGTTGGCTGCCACCAGTTTCTAACACTAGACATCTACAGCTTGATCCAGCAAAGTAGAGGGAAACAACTTGCTGGTTTAGCTGGAAGAAACTCTTGAATGGAACAAGAAAGAGTTCATAGTTTGTTAGCAATATGTTACAGATTACATTGACATGATAGACCTTGTTATCGAGATTATGAGGACGGCCTGAAAGTTAGAACTGTTTTGCCTACGAGTCTGTATACCTTCACAGTTGATGATGCTCAATGCACTCTTCAGTACTAGCACCTTCAGATCAATATTTGGAGATCACCCATAATCTTATAGAATGGTAGAGCAGGCTCAAACGGCCTACTCCTGTTCCAAAACCCTATGTAACTTACAATTTATGTTAAGGATCTTTTCATTATACACAAAAATTGTGCTTGGTTGCAACCAACTAAGAATTCAGATTGCTTTCATACAGGAATTCTTGACAATTATCAATTAATGAAACAAGAATGAAGGGACTGAATAATCTCCAACCAACTGGTAAATTTGTCACCTGTACAGAGCTCCAGGGTTGAAAGTTGGTTCAAATAACCTACCTTTAAGCCTCCCAAAGGACCAGCAATTGATAATGTAATCATTAAAAGATCATCTCACATACAAATCCATCACTCAGGATAAAGTTGAGCCACTTATAAAGGGAAAAATTGTGCTTGGAAAATGACTGTTAAATTATTCCAAGCATAAATGCATGGGGGCAGGTTGATATTACAAAAGCAGCAAAGAATCAACAGGAACAACCCCTCATCATATCTAAGGGAGCAAATGAATAGGAAAGTGAATCTACAAATAGTTTAGTACACACTGAAGGATTAACTGCTGCTCAGATCAATGTGTCTCAAAAAAGAAACAGCATAACTCTCCTTACTGGTAGTACTTTTCTTCTTTATTAGATTATATTTTTTGAAGGTGGGGTGACAAAAAAAAAAGTTTTGATTAACAGAATGCAGAATATCTAGTGTGACCCAAAGACGGGGAGAAAGCACAGAACAACCAAAACCTCAGAGATAGTAGGAACTGCTGATGCTGGAGTCCGAGATAACATGGCGTGGAGCTGGATGAACACAGCAGGCCAGGCAGCATCAGAGGAGCAGAAAAGCTGACGTTTCGGGTCTGGACCCTTCTTCAGAAATGGGGGAGGGGAAGGGATCTCTGAAATAAATAGGGAGAGGGAGGCGATGATAGAAGTTGGAAAAAGAGGAGCAGATAGGTGGAGAGAAGAAAGACAGGTCAAGGAGATGGGGATGAAGCCAGTACAGGTGAGTGTAGGTAGGGAGTTGGGATGGGGGTTGGTCAGTGAGGAGGGAGGGGCGGATAGGTGGGAGAAAAGACGGACAGGTCAAGGAGGCAGGGACGAGATGGGCTGGTCTTGGGATGATGTCAGGGGTGGGGAGATTTTGAAGCTTGTAAAGTCCACATTGAGACCATTGGGCTGCAGGGTTCCCAGGCAGAGTATGAGATGCTGTTCCTCCAGCCTTCGGGTGGCATCGTTGTGGTACTAGAGGAGGCCCAGGATGGACATGTCATCCAAGGACTGGGAGGGGGAGTTGAAGTGGTGCGCGACTGGGAGGTGTTATTGTTTGTCACGAATCTAGCATAGGTGCTTCACAAAGCAGTCCCCAAGCCTCCGCTTGGTTTCCCCGATGTAGAGGCCACATCGGGAACAGCGGATACAATATACCACATTAGTGGATGTGCAGGTGAACTTCTGTTTTAATGTGGAAGGTTTTCTTGGGGCCTGGGATGGAGGTGAGGGGCGAGGGTAGGGGCAGGTGTAGGACCTCCTGCGGTTGCAGGGAAAAGTGCCAGGGATGGTGGGGCTAGTGGGGAGTGTGCAGCGGGTGAGGGAGTCACAGAGAGAGCGGTCCCTCCGGAAGGCAGATAAAGGGTGCGGAGGGAAATATATCCTTGGTCGTGGGGTCAGATTGCAGGTGGCGGAAGTGGCAGACAATGATGTGTTGAATCTGGAGGTTGATGGGGTGATACATGAGGAACCAAAACCTACATACTGCCACATATTTGTTTTATTAAATGCAGCAAGGAAGATAAATGCAGTTATAAAAAAAATTTGTTAGAAAAAAAGGTAAACTGACAGTAAGATATATAGCAGAAGAATTAGGGCATTCAGCCCATCAAGTCTCCTTTGCCATTCAATCATGGCTGATATGTTTTTCAATTGTTTAATGGGAAATAAAAATATAATCGAAGAATCAAAGAACAGCAAAGTTCAGTAATTGACAAATCACATTGCTCAGGACCTCAGGACAGAGAACACACATCCCTAAAAGAGAAATTCTTGTAGGCTGGCGAAGAAAATATAAGATCCCAATACATTTACAGTATATAAATGGACCACAAGCTGGTCCACTTACATACGAATACAACTCAAATTTCTCATCTGATATTCTTATGTATGAAACATGAAGCATAAATCTAACTTGTTTCAGGAAAAACAAAGCCCACGTGTCAGACTGAAAATATATTTTTCGCAACCCAGTATCGCAACCAGGGAGAATGAATTTGTATTGTGACTGGTGCAGTAGGAAATGGCCTGGAGGAAAAGCAAATACGTTTGATTCCAGAAAGAAATGCATACAATTCTTCCAAATTTAAATAGATGAATTTATGCGCATAGTGTAGTGTGCACATCAAAAAGAAATGACTTACAGAGTCCAAAACATATGTCAACTTAATTCAGGAATACAGCAACACTAAACAAAGGGTTTAGTAAAAACGTTGCAAGTCAGTAACTTAGCAGGAATTGATAACTGTATAATTAATAATCTGTTTTCAAACACAAAATCAGATATCACTGTTGAATTTGGAAAAATGTAGACAAAAGGAAGACAAAATCAGATTTCAAAAAATAAAAAGCGCCACAACTTTTCAGTGTACATTCATGATGGAAATTTTACTCTTCTTATTCCAATCCCTTAAATCAGAGTCAGGAAAAAAGCACTCAGAGCAGCAATCATTGAAATCAAACAATGTTACATTATAATCATTATTTTAAGATGTATTACGGAACATTTGTTTTACATGCAGTTGATTCTTATTGAAAAACTTCTAGTGCTTTATACCAATAACTAGATTTTTTTTAAAAAAAAAAACACTTACTTAAGAGAAGCATCACCAATGCTAAGACACCCCCGTAGGCTAAGTTGACGTAGGAATCCTCCACATCGTTTAGAAATGTTTTCCACTACACGACCCTATGTTCAGAGTTAGAGAGGTGAGTAATGCTGATATCAAACAAAGAAAACTTTGCTTTCCCCAAAAACTGAGGGTTTATATATTTTTGCATGGTATTTCAGTAATCGGTAATTCAAGGAAGAGAAAATAAAATAAAACAGAACATGTTGGAACTACTTGGTCCTGCATTTAACAATTCAGGTCCATGATCCTTTTCAGGTCTGTTGAGTATTTCTGCATTTTGTTTTATTTCTGACTTCCAAAATCCACAGTAATAAGTTTGAGGTTTGATGCAGTATACGCCTGGATCTAATGAGCTAATAATAACAACTACATATTTGCAGATTGGATGATGCACAACCCAATTAATCAAACTCACATTCTGCCTGAAGATCTAGGCTTTGCCTTATTTAAACTAATTTTGGAAGATCCAAGGAGGAAAATCTACAGTATAACAAAGAGAGATCCTTACAAAATAAAGGGATTCTGCACACTTTTGCGAGAGACTCCCAGGAGCATCCAAACAAATCCAAATTATCTCAAACGACTCTTAAAGAGTTCCTCATTAAAACTGCAGTTATAGAGCTTGTAGACAAGTGAACTGTGCCAAGTCTAAAATGGAATCTTTGCTCATGCTAAGATCCTCAAAATTTGGACAAATGCAGTCACTAATCTGTAACAGTAGCAGGCTATTTAGCCCAACTGACCTATGCTGTATTTCAGGCTCTGTATGAGCCTCCTGGCACCTTAGTTCATCCAGCCTCCTCAGCAAATCCTTCTATTCCTTTTGCCTTCATGTACTTATCTAGTTTCCAAGAAATGGTTCAATATACTCTTCCACCCTGTAGAAAATCACAGAGCACTGCAGGATGTTGAACATTGCTACATGCACATTGGCTGCTGTGCTTCCCGCACTATAATACTAACCATTCAAAAGTACCTAAACTTGCTGTCAGGTGCTAGAGTATTCCAAATACTGAAGTTCCATATCCTATCCATTAACTCTTGAACTTCTTATTCCATTTACTAGTAAACATTATATTTACAACCCACAGCTTTGGACTTGCCCCCATAAGTAGAAGATCAATTCTAAATCTGTCTTCCCAAGCCCCTTCATCATTTTATAGATTTAAGAAAACTTTGCCAAAGATATGGTAAACAAGGAGGTTGTCCAGTTCCCGCCAAGAAAAATAGATATTTGGCAAGTACTACTGACCCTGAAAGTATTTAAAAGCTGGTAGGCCACCACAGCCAGTTCGGATGCATCTCATCTGACTGATGAAATTTAAAGGAGGTGGAAAATACAAGAGGTGTTGGTACAATCTCCAAATCCTTTCTGGATTCAGGGATGGTATCGATAGAATGGGAGATTGAAAATCTTCCATCCTTGCTCAAAAAAGTAGATAAGTATAACCCTGATAGCAATGGGCTAGTCAGTTTAATAATGGTGGTGGGGAAGTCACTTGAAATTATAATTTAGAAAAACAAGAAATCAACAGAAACATGGACATGCATGAGCTAATAAAGTAGAAACTGTACAAATCTATTAAGGGAAAGTCACATCTGATTAAATTGTTTGAGTTTTTAAATGAGGTAATATAGAGCAGCTAACTGTTACAGAAGTAAACTCACCCCCAAAATCTCCAAGTCAGCCAAGAAAATTCACAGTTTAGTAACCAATCAGGGAAAAGTCACCCTTCTGATGTTGTGTATATTGTTTTTCAAAAGGTATGTGATAAAGTACCAAATCTTAAATTTTTTAGCAAACATGGGAAAAATGGGAACAATACCCCATGAAGACAAAGTGGCTAAGGCATAGAAAACAATAGTTGGTAATAGTTTTTACTTGGGAATACGAACACAGGGAAAGGAAGAGACTTTCAATGTTCAGAACCAAACTTGGACTTGAGCATAAAAGGAAATTGCCAGACAACTTGTAAATGTACTGAACAGCAAGGAAGATAGTGAAAGACTTCAAGTGGGCATAGATAGGCTGATGGAGTGGCCAGGGACATGGCAGATGAAATTCAACACAAAAGTGTGAAGCCATACATTTGATTGCAAGAATGAGGAGAGAAAATGTGTTGAATTTTTCCCTGGAGTGCTTGGAGTTTAAGGTCAGACTAATTTCCTGTCCTAGAGCCAATGCTGAACGGTTGCACACCAGAGCTTGCTTTTAGAGGAGATGGCCAATTATTAGGCCATTGCTGAGTTTGCTGTCCAATTACAGATAGAAAATGATGCACAGACACAGGAGCCCCAACTAAAAAGAGAGAGCCAAAGTCCAGTCTTACCAAGAGAGTTGAGCACTGCTGAAGCAAACAGATGGCAAGAGGGTGCCACAAGGTAGACAGCAAATGGAATTGCAAAATCTTAAGGCCACAACCGTCAGGGCTTTCAGTGTGTGGAGGAAACATCTCCAAATGAATGGATTTTGCTGTCAATCAATGCTCAATGTATAAAAAAGGACAGAAGTAAACTCGTCTGTGAAATCTCTAAATCAACCTTGAAAATGTACACTGGAGTGACTAATCAGGGAAAAGTCAACCTTGTAAAGAGAATGGACGGCAAATGGTAAGGAACTACTTCTCCAATTTCAGGCTGCTTCACTCCCTATTCTTTAACTGTATTGTTGTGGAAGTCTGCTATACATAAATTGGGTTGCCATGTTTACTGACATTACAAGTTCTGATGGCAAATAAACAGGGAGAAACATTTAAAAAAACAACACTATGTTCAACAAAGATACTTTCCATTGAAAAATAAAAACTTAGCAAGCATGATCTATCCCTGGATCACGAGGAAAGTCAAATACAGTATTAGGTTAAAGGACTAACGATATTAAAAAGAAGAACAGTAAGCATTAAAAGTGGAAATGTTTTTGAAATTAGCAAATGACCAATCATTGATAAAACTGGAAAAAATGTAGACACAGCAAACTAACTAGAAATAAAAAACAGTTTGCATAAGGTTTTAAAGTAAGTATTTAAAAAGAGGAAACTACTTAAAAGTAAAAGCTCCTTAGGCATACAGATAACAGAAATGAGCATGGGGAACAATGAAATAGTAGACTCGTTGAACAAATATTTGTCTTTTCAAGGTTGAGGACAGAAATCGCATAAACAGAATAAGTTATGAGTTCATAAGATTATTAAGTTTCTCCAATGTTTTTTCTCTGCAGGTATTAATTACCTCAAAATCTGACAAATCTGCACAACCAGATGGCCTACAGATGTCCTAAGGCTCTGAAAGCAACTGCTGTAAAGATAGTGGATGCGCTAGATATGGTTCACCAAAATTTTCTAGATTCAAGAACAGCCCCGGTGAACTGGAAATTAGGAAACTAACTTCAAGAAAGGAGAAAGGGAGAAAACAGGAACATCAGTTATCAGGCAAAAGCTGGAATCTATTGGTAACAAAGTCTTAATGCATTTAAAAAAGTCAGTATGATCAGATCAAAAGAACATTTTCACTCATTATAAAATATTGCGTGCAACGAATTAATGAGATATTTTTGAGGATGTAATTAGTACAGCGGCACTAGTGGAATGGGGGGCGTGGAGAGGGTAATATATTAGCATGGATAGAGGACTGGTTTACAGGCAGGAAGCAACAAGTAGGGACAAACAGGGCATTTTCAGTTTGGCAGGCGGCAACTAGTGGAGTGCCGAAAGGACAAGTGCTGGAGCCTCAGCTATTCAAAACCTAAATTAATGGCTTAAACAAAGAGACAGTGAATAACACATCTCGGCTTGTTGATGACACAAAGCTGGGCGGGGATGTAGGCTGTGAAGAGCACAATATAACTGCAAAGATATACAGAAAGGTTAATTGAGTAGATAACAAGGTGGAGTACAATGTGGGGAAACATGAGATTATTCACTTTGGTACTGAGAATTAACAAAAAGGTAGAATGTTATTTTCCTTTTCCAAAAGTTGAAAACTTAAATGTTGATGCTCGAACGGTCTTGGGTGCACTCGTACAAAGGAACGTAAAATTAGCACGTAGAGCACAAAAGGCAATTAGGATGGCAAATACCACATTGGTCCTTGTTTCAGGGGGATGAGAGCCCTTTAGGATGGCACATCCAACGTTCACTAGATTG